GCCTGCTTCCAAGAATTCCTCTGGATGTCCTCCTGTCCCTGTGCGGCTGGCAAGAGAGCGCTCTCCCGCTCTCCCGATCTAGTTCCCCAGGTCACTTCCGCCCCTGGCTCCACCCCCCAATGGGTATGGTCAGTGCCACAGAAGGAGACAAAGTGAATATCCCCCTACACCTGATATTATATATTTGATTCACTAGTAGAGTTTTTATGGATTTCTCCCCATGCTGTAGGAAGGTTTTCATCATTTTTAATAGACTCTTGGTTCTATTAAACCAAGATTGTTTGGGCTATCTAGTGAGACCTGCCTCAAAATAGTAATAACAAAAATAGTATATTACGTGAACCCACAAGAGTCTCAAGAATGTATTTAAATAAACAATGGGGACAAACACTAGCTGATACAGAACAGATCAGACACAGCTGTGATCCAGCTGCTGTGTCCTGCCATTCTGCCCAGGGGAGACAGCAATCAACCACTCCTTGCTTTGGCTCCAACACCCATGAACAAGAGTGAGAGAGTGAGAGTGAGGAGTGCGTGCTCTCTCCCTCAGCTTTTAAGCAGTTACATACACAGACCAGGCCACAGCCTAGGGCCTGCGGCCTCAAAAGTCATTGGCTAACTGGATCAAAATCCCACAACATTCCCCTTATTTTTCTAAAAAGGTTATAATCCTAACATAAAACTATCTAGAATAAGAACAACTATCAAGTATTGTGCAGAAGAAAGAAAAGGTAATAAAATTAGCAAAGATGAAACTACAACCAACAAGAACTACATCAATCAAGCAAGAAACATTCTAAATTTCCAAGCCATAGGTAATTGGCAAATTACAGAGATTATTCCAACAGTTGCCCTATCCTGAAGGGTCTAAGTCTTGTGCCTAATACCCCTAGCTAAAATAGGAGAGGACTGTAACTGTAACTAGTCTTCAGGGCTCCTGTTTCAGAAGAAACTGCCAGACATTCTGCAGGACACAGCAAAGCAACTGATGGATTTTGCCAAAATATGAGAGACAGTCTTTCAAATTTCCTGCTTCACTGAAAAGTCTGCCAGATACTATGTGGCTGTAGGCTGAAGATGGATGCCCCAACATTACAGAAGAACTTTGGGTGACTGCCCAGCCAGATGTCTCTGTCATTTCTAGAGTTTTGGAGTTGCTTACAATATAATTTTTCTTTACTCAGGTAAGATTATATCCTTCTGGGGTCTTTGATTATAGTTTTCCTTAGTTATGATAAAAGATAAGTTAGATATAAAACTTTATATTCACAAAGATAGGATAGATGATAGAGTATTCTCATTAATTTTGTCAAATACAAATAAACATTTTAAATATTGTAATTGCAATTCTTGCTTGATAACTGTTTCATTATATGTAATTTTACTGTGTTAAAGTTAAAACCTTCCTTTTTGATTGGACAGAAAGGGGGAAATGATGTGTGATGTCTTTTTGTACGCTGTGAGTATATGTTGTTCTCATTAGCTAATAATAAAAGCTGTTTGACCAATAGCCAGACAGGATAGGGTTAGGCAGAACAATCAAACTGAGGACTCAGATGAGGAGAGGTTGAGAAGACACCAGCAGTCGCCCAAGGAGCAACGTGCCAGAGCACCACCAGAAGATCAAGGACCACATGGCAATACAGGTTAATTTAAATGTAAGACCTAGCTAGTAATAAGTCTGAGCCAAAGGCCAAATAATTATAATTAATATTAAGCCTCGAAGTAGTTATTCGGGAACTGGTGGAGAAACTTCCAGTTACAATAGTAATTATAAAATAATAAATTTCAAGCTTTTATCAGTGAAGAACAAATGTAGAAAGTTGCCAATGCAAAAAAAAAAAAAGAAAAAAAGAAAAAGAAAAAGTTTTGTTTCTCTATTTTAAGAATGCTAAACCAATGAAATAAAAGAATGCTAAAACAGTCATGTACAAGGTCCAAAGAAAAACATTTCATGATAACAAAAATGTTTCAGAAACGAGTGAACAGTTCTGGTTGGGTGACAGAGTTAAAATCTGCTCATCAGGATGAGTAATAACCACTGTATTTTCTGGAAGTTTCTTCAAAAATAAATGAAGCTAAAGTGATAGCAGGCTGGCCTTAATCAAGACAAACCATTGGGTCTGGGGCTATGAAATATTAATCTGCACATTTTTCATCCCAGAACAGTAGTGTGACCAGGGCATGCAACAGTAAGATGCTCAAGCTACTAGAGAAGCCCCACTGCCTGATGGCCAGTGGCAAACATGTCTTCCTTCACTTTTCCTTCCTTAAATTTGCAAAAGGGTGACAAGTACAACTTTCCCTATCTCAGGGCATGCCCAAAATCTTGAAAAGTATTGAACTCACCTTTTTCACCGAAAAGACATACGTGTTAACTTTTCTTAGGCATAACCAAATTGCCAACATCACTGCTCTTTAACTTAGAGGCCACTATTAAATAAAGAAAGGTTCACTTAACACAAGCCTGTGACAGTCTATCTGATAACCTCAGAGCTACTAAGCAACGAGTATGCTTGCAGCTTACTAGACAAAAGGTGACTCATGGCCTAGACATGGTGGTGCAGGGCCACACCAGAAAAGCACACAAGTCAGAGATTTCCATTTAATATTTTCAGACAAGTTACAAAAAAGAAGCTACCATACAGAGGGGGAAACATGGAGAAAGCTAGAACACGGGAAAGTAAGGCCCTGAGTTCAACCACCAACACCAAACAGAAAGAAAAGGACCAAAAAAAAAAAAAAAAAAAAAAAACAATAGTCTAGAACAATAAAAGGACCAAGATCCAACAGCAAATTCCTCCTAGTGGCTGACAGTCTCTGTCTCTGCCATTTTGAGAACTGACTCCATTTTTGTTATTTTCCAGCCTTCTGTTACTCTCACCTAGTCCTACTTGTCCAACTTTTCCTAGTTGGTTTTTGTTTTGTCTTTTAAGGTCAAAATCTGACCTACATCTCAGTAGTGTCAACCTCTACTGTGTTTTTCTACTATGGAATTGGCCCTTCCAGGGAAAACCTTTATCTTCGTTTCAAAGCAGTCTGCCACAGTCAGGCCTCTCAAGTGACTGACTCACAGCCAGTGATAGCTGGAGATCCTCTGGCCCAGCTGAGAAAGAGAGAACTATAAAGGGCTGTATCCACTTACCTCGAACCTGTTTTTTAATTTCTTTGGCAGAATCCAGCCATGTCTGTAAAAAGAAGAAAAGGCATTCACATGGAGCTCCAGAACACACAGACAATTCAGCATTGGAGGTAGCTCCCTGGCCACCTTGGGAAAACACCTCCTGATGAACCTACATTTCCCTGGAAGCTTTTGTGTTAATTTAACAAAGCATAGTTGTTTCTCAGCAGCAAAAAAAAAAAAAAAAGGAACCAGAGGTTGGTTTGAATCCATGCTCCAATATTCCTGACTAAGTACCTAGAGCCTCTCTGTACCTAAATTCCCTTATCTCTAAAATATAAATTTTGTCATAGTACCCATTTTAAAGACCTGCTCATATATGTAAGCCTGATTGTAAGCAGAAAATGTGAAATAAGCATGTGCTATTTGCAATGTTAGATTGGTAAAGTTCTAGAACAATGAGTAAGTGACATCAGCCAAATCTTATTTTCTCCTCTAAACTTTGGTCTTGTTCAAATTTTCTGTCAGCACAGCCTCTGGTGCACGGTTCATTGCCCAGTTAATGTTTACTGAAATGAATATATCTTGCCCACTCCAATCTCCAATCTCTCTCCCTTCTATGTTTTTCCACCCCACTTAAGAGTCTATATAACATCACATTAGGCCTCTTCAACCTGTAAGGTCCCCTGCAATGTACTGGCACTTTAAAAAAGCAGTTTCACTATTAACTGTACTTCATAGGACTCTATGAAAGATGATTAAAGACAAAAACTGCTCAATTTTTAGTAGAACAGCTTTTTCCTTCCTTCTTTCTTTCTTTTTTTTTTTTTTTTTTTTTTTTTTTTTTTTTTTTTGGAGATAGGGTCTCATTATGTAGTTAGATCTAGCTGGTCTGGATGGAACTTGAGGTATAGACCAGGCTAGCTTTGAACTCACAGAATTCTATTTTCCAAGGGCTGGGCTTAAGGTATGTACCATCACACCCAGCTTATTTACATTAGATTTTAAATTATTAGACCATTTTAAACTATAAGATACAGCCAGACGATGATGGCACATACTTTTAATCCCAGCACTCAGAGGCAGAGGCAGGAGGATCTCTGTGAGTTTGAGACCAGCCTGGTCTACTGAGCGAGTTCTAGGACAGCTTCCATAACTACAAAGAAACCCTGTTTGGAAAAAAAAAAATTGTAAGATACATTTTGGGTGAAACTTGGTGATAGTATTCATGTTTGCATGTTCATGGTTCTCAGGTTTAGTCCCCAACAACATGTGCATGTGCAGACACACAAATATACAGATCAGTGAAATAGCAAAGTAAACACATAAGAATTATAACATTAACAAAATTCCAGGAGCCCTATTCTTATCTAACTAACCCTTTTCTTCAAAAGATTTAAAATTCAATTTTGGTAGTTCCTGGGGTGGGGAGTGGGGTAATATCCCTTCCTCACCACTTATCAACACAGACAGAGCACAGAATGACCAAATATATGCCCTACCAAATGAACAGGCTGGACCACTATACTTTTACACTTGGTTATATACCACTTTGACAGTTATAGACAGTCACCAGCACAGAGTATATGCATAAGAGTGAGGATTAGTTTCCTTTTATATTCCCCCACAATTGGCATGGATGACTAAGAAGTATTTATTAATAACTACCATTTACTATGAAGCTGTTCTACAGTATAAAAAATGAAATACATATGTGACTGCAGGTAGCTCAACAGGTAAAATTCATGTCATGTAAGCATGAGGATCTGAGTTTGATTCCCAACATCCAGATAAAAAAGTTGGGCTTGGTCGTGCATACTTACAATCCCAGCACTTGGGATGTGGAGACAAGAAGACCCCTGGAGCTTGCTGGTCAGCCATTATATACAAACCAGTAGGTTCCAAGTCCATTGAGAACCCAGTCCCTGCCTCAAAAATAAGGTAAAGAGCAAAAGAGGAAGGCTTCCTGGCACATGCGTGTACACTCCAGCATGAGAGCACACACACACACACACACACACAAATTAAGTGCATACTTGTTTGAGCCCTGTCATAAAGGAAGTATCTGAATGCTTCCCTTTGCCTCTCATTTGGTGGAAAGGCAGCTTATATGCAACCCAAAATGCTTTACTAATGGCAACTTTCTATCAGGTTGGAGAGGGTGTCTCCCACAGCAGAGAGCTCCATATTCTCCACTGTTTTAAGAGACTTCCCAGTTCTTCCTTCCAGAGAACCTATGAGAAAATTTAAGACTGAGGCCAAAACCCCTATCAGGCTGACACTGAGAGGCAAATCCAGATTTGTGTCAATCACAGAGCTTCAAATCTAAGCTTTCTTGAAGGGACTGATGTGAGCTGGTGCAACAGGAAAAGCACCACCACTAAGTCTGAGTCCAATCCCCAATCTCTTGTGACAGAAGGAGAAAACCAATTCACAAAAATCATCCTCTGACCTCCACACATGTACCCTCCCTATCCACAGCCCTGTCCCCCAAATGAATTAATGCAATTTATAATTGTTTGAAAAAGATCAAAAGCCAAGGTTAAAAACAAATCAAAAGCAAAACCAAGACTTTCTAGTTATAATAAAATCAGTATCTATACTTCTACGCTCAATTTAAACTATTTAATTCTTGAGGCTGGAAAGAGCTCAGCAGTTAAGAGTACCTCCAGAGGGCCCGAGATCAATTCCAAGTACCCACGTGGTAGTTCATAACTATCTGTAACTCCAGTTCTAGGGCTTCTGACACCCTTACACAGACATACATGCAGGCAAAACATCAATCACATAAGATAAAACTACATTTTAAAAAATTTTCAATTCTTGGTGTTTTATTTAGCCAACAAGTGTATGTGAAATGATTCCAGGTGGATTGCATCATCATTATTTAAAAGACTAAAAATCACTAATGAAGGGGATGATTGGGGAACAATTTGCTTGCCCTGGATATGACCACAGCAGTGATATGGTAAAGCTCGGGGCATTTCAGCACGCAGATCCAAAGGAACTTTAGGAAATAGGGGAGTCTGAGTCTTAAAATATGAATCAGCCAGAAAAAGAAGAACTGAAAATAATTAGATGGGCACAAAAGTACAAAAGAGTTGCTGTGCATAGTTCAGCATAACCGCAGCACAGAGGCAATTATGGAGGAGAGGTAAAACTGAAAAGCACAGTAAGGGTTCAGACATGGAGACCATATTCTGTGCTAAGAAGCCTGGGCTTCATCAAGCTCAAGGCAAGTAGAAGCCACTGAAGGGTTAAAAATGAAGGTATGGCATTAATTATAAGGAGTGTGATTAGACACAGATACTGCAGTTCAGTAAAGGATATAGTTCTTGCTTTGTGTTTTAAGACAGGGTTTTCTCTGTGTAGACCTGGCTGTCCTGAAACTCACTTTGTAGCCAGGCTGGCCTGGAATTCACTGAAATGTGCCTGCCTCAGCCTCCCAAATGCTGGGATTAAAGGACTGTACCACCACTGCCTGGCAGGTTCAAGTGTCTTTTCACCATCCATCAGCTGTACATCCTTGATATGGGATAATCTTGCTAAACTTCAATTATTTTATCATTAGAATTATAGGGATAAGCATAGTAGGTATCTTCTCTTGATGATGAAAACAAGCACATTATTAATTCTCTTTTTAAAAAAAGGTAAATTCTAGAGGAAAATCTGTAGAGACTATATTCATCGGTGTTTTAGAAAGGTAGGTATAAACATTGTTACCAACATGGGAAGAAGTAGGTACAAACATTGTTACCAGCATGAGACCAGGCAGGCACAAACATTGTTACCAGCAGGAGAACTGAAATTGCCAGCTGCTTATACTGTCTGGTCTCCTTCCTTACCTTAGAAGTTGCACTATCCCAAACAGCTAAACCAAAGTAGTCTTCTTCCAATAGATTGAGGTGCTCACAAACTCGCTTAAGCAAATCCTGCCCCTTAGCATGTTTCTGTGAAGATACACAAACATTAGTTAAGGGTTCTTCTCATTCTTGTACTCATCATCCAATTTTTCAAAAAGTGTTATTTTCCAATTCCATTTTTTATCTTTGATAACTAATAAACTCTCAGATGGTGACACAGTCTAAATAAAGCATGATTTATAAATCTCTTCTCTTCCCTGATATGTCAGCTTATAAACAAATATATTACAGCGCGGAAATCATTTTCAAAGTAAGTACCACCAAGAATGAAGTCCCTACAACCCTTCAGAGAAGTAAGAAACAGCCTATAGACACTAGCTGTTACAATAGCTATTCAGTATTGTTACAAATCATTTTCCTTACAAAGTCAAACCACTCCTAAATCTGGGAACTTAAACTCTTACTTATAAAGAAGCATGCCTTAATTTACAGACTGTGATTTAAACAGCAACCTCTATTTACCAGCTAATCAACTTAGTCATTCAATTAATAATGGCTTCTCAATTGTAAAGAATTTTTATATCCAGAGCCTTTTGTGTGTTAGGACTGAACTGCAGGTGCTTTTACTACAAGACATCTAGTAATTTCTTTTTAAACATAATCATAGGGATAGCTGGAAATATTATCAAAATTCAGCCTATCTTGAGAAATCTGGTTATAAAGAAAAAAATATATATATATATACATAAAGTAACCACACACTTAAGTCTCAAGATCTCAACAGATTCAGGGAGGAAAAAATAAGACAATTTCCCACCACTTCATTTAAAGAAAGCCACCATTAACATTTCCGTCCACAGAATGGTCCTCAGGGTAGGTCTTGTCTTCAGCAGCCTCACACCCCACATGAAGAAATTATAGCTCTGATTAAAACGCACTCACCTCCACCACACACTCATAAATTGTGTCATCCAACAAGGAGACCTTGCAGTGCATGTCTCTGTGTCTCCTGATGGGCTTCTGTGAAGCCTCAGGCTCTCTTTCTGGTTTTAACTCGGGGTCGTCCTTCACTCCTGCCCTGGAGCACTCTTCAATCCCTTCCTCTTCCTTCGTTTCAGATTCCGGATCCTCTCTGTGTTCTTCCTGAGCTGGCTAAACACCCATGACAACAAGTTAGTGAAAAGACATTCACAAAATGAGCTACACACACTCCTACCTGCAGTTAGTACCCCCACCAATAAAAATACAAACATAAAGAAACTACTAAAACAAAAATAAGTTGAGTCATATCAACTAGTTCATTTTTTCTAACATGTATTATGGTTTCCCAAAGATGTTCAGACATGACTATTTTTAATTTTTTCAGGTAGAATCCTATCAAATTGGTGAGTGACTGTGAGACACCAATCTATTGCTCTCAGCATTACATAATATAGTCTTCCTGACTGTAACATTATATGATATATATGTTCATCAATTTTTTTGTTGCCTCTATTCCATGGTCTCCCACTTAGAAAGGTAGCCTATAAACTGTGAATGAAATGATTTGCCACAGACTTTAAATTATATACACAGCTAAAAGAAGTGCTTGACACATCTGCATTAAGAAAATGAAGGTACCAACCTAAAAACTGTGGCTCCGCCCCAGCTCTTCTCTACTTTCCTACATCCAAACAAGGATGACGAAGGAAGAGCAAGACCGAAAATGGCCTCCTCCAGCAATTGTTAAGTCATCCCAATGTTACACAAGAAAGTCAGAATATTTTGGCACACATTTTCTTTTTTTTTTTTTTTTTACTGAGGATGGCTTTGGTTCTTTAGCCAGCAGAGCTAAAAAGAAGGAAGGACGAAGGGAAGGAGGAAGGATGGATTGACTCTTTCCTGCAGCCTCTGAGGGAGCACGCCCTTCCAGGAACCCTGGTCTTACTCTTCTGACCTCCAGCAATGTGAGGGAAGACATCTCTGTTGCTTTAAGTCCGTCCTGGTTTCTGTGCTGCATCTACCTCAGAAGCAGACCTGTTGTGGCCCTCAGCCTGGCTCACACATCCTCAGTCCCATTCCTCCAGGAAGGAGAGGACCCCATATCCAGCTTCTCCCCACATTTGAGTTTTAATACAGCTGCTGCTATCACAATTCCCCCACCCCAAGCCAGCAGGCTGGAAATCTGCTTCCTCTGGAAGACACTTTTGTCTGCTCAGGAGGCTACATTCCCATAAGCCCTGAGACATAAGTAGTGACAAGAAATATTGGTCCTGAGGCAGAGTGTGGGCCTGTCACAGTCCTCAGGTTCAGCTGCGTGTCACAGCCCATGGTCACTGCAGCTTCATGCCACTCCGTCGCCGAGAGTCCTTCCTGGCGATGGGACTGAAGTTGGAGACCTCTTTGTAGATGTGCTGTTTCCACTCATCCACAGTGAGCTTCTCCTGTTCTAAGACATCAGCAAAAGGCTGCTGGGCCTCTGTCTCCTCCTCCGGGTCGCGGATGGGTTCGAAAAAGGGGTGAGCAAGTGCCTGAGTGGCTGTCAGACGTTTGTCCACATCCAGCTCCAGCATCTTATCCAGCAGGTCCGCAGCTTGGGGACTGGCACGCGGGAACAGCTGAGTGAAATCCTTCTTGGGGCTCTGAGGCAGAGACTGGATGTAGGATTTGGCCGCCTTGTCTTTCAGCTTCTGCACAAACTCAGCTCCTGGCACCCCGGTCACTTTCAGGATCTGGGTCAGCTGGTCCAGGTAGTCCTTCCCCTTGAAAAGCGTCCTTCCGGTCAGCATTTCTCCCATGATGCAGCCTACAGACCAGATGTCCACTGTCTGGTTGTAATGCATCCAACTGAGAATCACCTCAGGGGCCCGGTACCAGCGCGTCACCACGTAGCCGGTCATCTCGGGGTCTGCATGCCGTTGGCACACATTTTCTTACTGATTTTTTTTTTTTCTTAAAGACAGCTAACTAGCCTCAAACCTGTAGTTTTCCTGCATCAGTCTACTAAGTACTGGGATTAAGGGCCACGTTGGACTATTTTCTTTCTTTCGGCACAATAAATTTATTGAGAGTTTTAACTAAATTCTATGAATTTTTTTTCTTCCAAAACAATACATGGTTGACATTTAATTTAAAAAAAAAAAAAAAGGATTGAGTTGTTTGCCTGTGGCATTAGACTCGGGTGGCTGACAGGCTTGATATAGTCTTCACAATCATGTCATGCAGCCTCAGTATGGGCTTCAGGTCATGTGTGTCCTATCCCACTGAACTATTTCATATAATAACACCTTGACTGTGGCTCCTAGCACCTACACGTGGGTGGTCACCAGGCTTGCAGTAACAAGCACTTTATCCCCTGAGCCATCTCACTGGCCCATCATTTAAAGTTTTTAACTTATCAAGGTCCACCTATCCTAGAACCTGGCTTACACAGTAGGTTTTCAGTACTTACTTTTTATAAATAAATATTTAAAACTAAAAATGTGAGTGCTGGGTATGGGTGTGTAAGCCTTTAATTCCAGCACTCAGGAGGCAGAAGCAGGTTGATCTCTGTAAATTAGAGGCCAGCCTGGTTTATATAAGAAGTATAAGACCGTCTCTCAAACAAACAAACAAAGCTTAGTAGGTAATGCTAGGAAGATGGATCAGTCAGTAAAGTTTGCCATGCCATTTGCAGTCCTTACTGTGATTCCATAGATCTCATTCATAACTACTGTGTTAGTTTGAAAGAACATGGCCCCCAAAGGGAGCAGCACTGTTAGGAAGTGTGGCTTTGTTGAAATGGGTGTGGCCTTGTTGAAGGAAGTATGTCACTGTGGAGGTGGGCTTTGAGGTCTCATATATACTCAAGATACCTTTCAGTATCTTAGACCACTTCCTTTGGTTGCAAGCCAAGATGTAGGACACTCTCCAGCATCATGTCTGCCTGTATGCCACCATGTCCCACCATGATGATAATGAGCCGAACCTTGCTGTGGTCATGGTGTCTCTTCCCAGCAATAGAAACCCAAAGACAACTACTATTTAGTGAGTCTTGATTTTTGTTTGTATATGTGTATGATTCATATATATGCTATGTACACATGAGTGCACATTTAAGGAGTTGGTTCTTGACTTCCACCTTGTTGGGTCTCTCATTTCTGCCACTGCACTATTCGGTCTAAGTTAACTGATTGGCCCACAAGCTTCCGGTGAGTCTCCTGTCTCCACTCCTTATCTTTCCACAGGAACGCAGAGATTATAGATTTGAGCTACCACACTCTGCTTTTTAAGAGGGTCTTAGGGATTTGAATTAGGTCACCAGGCTTGTGCAGCAAGCCTTTTTACCCATTGAGTCACATACCCAATCCTGGATCTTATTTTTAATATTGTTTCACTAACAGCAAGTACCTATTATGATCTCATCCTAAAGTCAGCCTTTGGCACTTTGAATATACGAGTAACATTTCTAGAAATACAAGTAATAATTTTAGAAAAGCCTAATGAAACTACATACCCCAAACTTTAGACCTTTCACAGAAGCACACACAGGATTTAAACTTTAACAACCCAGATAATGTTAAAAAGCTACAGAAGTAAAATTTTGAAAATAACTCTTACTTTGTAAGCAGTAAGACTGAAAACAAGTAAGATTTCTAGAAAACAGCTTGAGTTATACTAGTAGTGCTTTTACATGTTTTTGGACAAAAGAATAACTCATGTTTATTTATACAGATTCAAAGTTAAAGCTCTGTATGAATAAATACTACAGAGGGGCCAATGAGATGGCTTATCAGGTAATGGCACTTGCTACCAGTTTGATTCTTGAAGACCATACTGTGGAAAAAAGAGACTGATCCCCCAAAGCTGTCTTCTGGTCTCCATATGCACACTGTGATACATGCATGAACATGCATGTGTGCACGCACACGCGCGCGCGCGCGCGCACACGCACACACACACACACACACACACACACACACACACACACACACACAGGACGGAATTGAAATGGCAATAATGTGTTCCATAGAGCATATAGGCCAAATAAGACAAGCATGGCTCTGATCTGTCACATACACTGGGATGGCCTGACTCCATCACATGGATTAATGGAGACTTTTCACAAAAGGGCCACACTGCCTGATAACTATTCTATCCCTAATTCCACCAATATGAACTCAATACCACTCACTTCTTTCTGGCTCTCCCATTAATACTCAAATTTGTCCCATTGTTACAGCTAGATGATACATGGACTGAACAAACTCATTCGATAGTTTTCTTTCATTTCTTTGATTTATAGAGTATATTTTTAAAGTCAGGTTTCAACTGATTACATTAATTTCTTTAGAGCAGAAACTCTTTATGTTATTTATCACTATCAATGCCTAAGTCAACTGGCTCATAAGAAATAATGCCAAATATTCTTCTATGAAAAGTACAGCATATAATGCATCTTCATTATACTCTCATCCACAGTCATATGCCTTACCTGTGTTTCTATACTGCTTAGTGAATGAAGATCCAAAGATGGGTCTGTTTTGAGTTCAGGTTCAGGAGCTGCAATAGGAGCCTTTAAAATGATGTCTTCATCAAGGCTGGTTCCAAATTCTAACTCCTTTTGACCTCCTTCTCCTTTTTCCTTATCTGACTCTGCTTCTCTGCCTTCTTCTTCAGAAACCTGAGACTTGGGCCTTTTGAGGAATGAGGAAAGCAGTCGTGACAAGCCTCTGCTTTCTGACGTCCGTTCCTTGTTCTTGGTCAAGTCTTCATGTGTCGGAGTGTCCCCATTGGATGCTTTCAGCTTCTGCTCACACTGATTACCGCCCTCAGCTGCCGGTTGGGAAGCCTCTTCTAGTTGAATTTCTTGTTGGCCTGAGTTTGTGGCTCCCTCACCTTCTTCCTTCTGTTGTTGGTGCTGAGAATTCTCAGCTTCAACCACTAAACTCTTCTCTGTTGTCATGATGTTCCTTTTAAAAGGAAGAGGAAAGGGCAAACTATTATAGGAAAACACATTGCTGCAGGCCAAACCCCTAAACCTCAAAAGGCTAATATATTTGGATTTAAAAAACCAACAGAATTCCATCCATTAAATAAAATACCTTAAATAAAAACACAAAAATATTTTACCTATACATCCTGGATAAATTATTAATGCCTGAATTCATTTAAAAAAATAGCTATCTTAAAATAGTATCCACTAAGGCCATGTAATGAAATACACCATAATTAAACTCAATGCTCAGAATTGTACATAGCAAATATACCTTTTATTCTCCTAAAAAAGGGCCTTATCTGGGCCCTGTCCTTTCACAGTGTCAATCAAAAATGCAAGATTTGCAGGAATCCCAAACCCTAGGGATGATTAAATTAGCAAGTTCTGCAAATCTTTTGTTTTTCTTCCTCACATTTCTTAGCATGAAGACTTCTCCATTAGGAAGAATAAACACAGAATTCTGATCATTTACTATCAGAGTTGACAAGAGCAAGGACAAGTATACAGTCAAAATAACCACACAAAAGATGTCCTTTGGTTTCATGATGTAATACCAAATTATATCTGCTCCCAGAGGCATCCGACTTTAAGCTCTTCAAAACACTTTTTCTTCTGAGAAACGTGATTTTGAATGCTCAGCATTTTTGAAAGTAGGAAGTGAAACCATTATACTGGGGGGGGGGTGAGAAATAAAAATGCTGTAGGGGAAAATTTTAAAAGCCAATGTTGATTTACTTTAGGGGAGAAGGCAGGCTACAAACCTCACATATTTGAAACTTGACGGTGTCTAGCCTTTTGATGTCAAAGCGCCAGTATTCCTACTCAAGCCTCGCTGTAAGAATCAAAGGGCACCATCACTGCTGCTCCAGTTCAGATGTCAAGTCTCTGAGAGAGGCCTCCCAGGCACTCAACTAAAGTAGCGGCCAACAATGACAGCCTCTCAGCCCTATAACTCTTTTGACCTTGTAGATTTAACTTGTTTACTGCCCTTCCTCTATATCCCTCTCTCCATCTAAAATACAAGATTTCATGTTGTTGTTTTTCTCGAGGCAGGGTTTCTCTGTAGCTTTGGAGGCTGTCCTGGAACTTGCTTTGTAGACCAGGCTGAGTCTTTTTTTTAAATAGAGTAATTTATTTTTAATCTATGCATGTGTCAATATAGATGTGTGTGCAAATGCCTGAAGAGGCCAGGGAGGGTGTCAGGTCTCGTGGAGCTGGCATTACAGGCAGTCGTAAGTCCCTGTAGTGTGAGTGCTGGATAACAAACTCGGGTACTCTGTAAGTGAAGTAAGTATGCTTAACCACTGAAGCAACTATACAGCCCCTGCGTCTTTCTTACCACTGTATACCCAATGCCTAGAACAGTACCTGTATGTACTAGAGATTAAGTGTTTGTATATGAGGTATATGTATATGAGAGTTTGTGAACATGTATGGAGGAGGCCAGAGGTCAACTTCTGGTGTCTTCATAAATCATCCTCCACTTTACGTTTTTGAGACAGGGCCTTTTGCTGGACCTGGAGTTCACTGCTTTGGCTAAGTTGGCTGTTCAATGAGTTCCAGGGATCTGACTAGCTTTGCCTCCTCAGTGCTAAGAATTGCAGACATGTGACACTGAGCTCAGTTTCTTATGTGGGTGCTGAGGATCTAAACTCTGACCCTCATGCTTTTAGGGCAGCGGGCACTTTTCTGACAGATCCATTTCCTCAGCCCCTTAATACAAGGTTGAAGTTTTTGGGTTTTGTTTTTGTTTTTTTTTGTTTGTTTGTTTGTTTTGAGACAGAGTCTTACTGTGTAGCTCTGGCTGTCCTCGAACTTACTATGTAGACCAGGCTGGCCTCAAACTCAGAGATCTGACTGCCTCTGCCTCCCAATTACTGGGATTAAAGTGTGTACCACCACTGCTTGGCTTATTTTTTGTTTTATTGAGAATGCCAGAGGGCAACTTGTGGGAATCCATTCTCTCCTTCACCCCATGGCATCTGAGAACTAAACTCAGGTCAGACTTGGCAACAGGTGCCTTTATCCTCTGAGCCATCTCACTGGCCAAATAAAAAAATTTTATGACTTGATTTCACCTGAGTACATCTGATGTCTATAAACTTCAAAGGTACCCTCTAAAATATGCAAGCATACTCATTCATCCATCAAATCCTCATCAAGTATTTAGTACCTAAATGCCAATGTTGCCACAGTAAACAAAACAAAGCAAACAAGGTTTCTATTGCAGAGCAGTTAACTCTCTCAATTCAACTTTGATACAATGAAAGAAGAGTGCGACAGGAATCTTAGAATAATTGCATATGCATGGAACAGAGCCAGGAAAAGGGAAACAACTAATACTTAAACCAGGCACTGTTTTCTGTGACAGGGCCCTTATCTACTTTATGGGTCTTATCTACAGTATCTCAAACTTTTCAATAACTTCACCCCACCCCCACAAAAAAAAGCAGGAATCTTCTGATCTTATAACTAAGGATATTTGATTCAAGAAATACCCAAACATGCTCTGTCTCATAGAATCCTGGATGCTAAGTTGGGTCAGGACTGATTAATACTTGGATGGGAAAGAGTAACTTGTTCAAGCCAACACTGCTAGTAGTGTTGCAAGACATTACAAATGGTGCTGAAATAAATGAAGGCATAGAATAAAAAGAAAGCCCTCAGAAAGACCTTTACTCTCATCTGTTTTTAAACATTAACAGTACTTTAAAAGTAATAATATTTAAAGAAGTACATCTAATCTCATTTCCTAAGTCATTGAAATGACTCTGAGCAATAGAGTATGAAATATGGTCTTTACAAACACTGCACAAAGCATCTACCAATAAACACTCAGGTTTCATTTTTTGTTTCTTAGTCACACCTATACTTTAAGAGAAATAAAATGATCATCATCTTCATATCAGCAAAAGAAAACACATATATCCCAAATGATCTTTCTTTACACAAACACAAAAGAACAACACAAAAGAAAACCGGATGCTGAACCTGTCTCTGTGCCAGAATACCAAGAGTACCATGATAGTCTCTTTGCAAAACTAAACAAGGAAACTTTAGGAAGACACACTATTGTCTGTGAGTTGCACATACGCTTCACATCTGCCTGACCAAAAGGGAACAGAATTCATCTCTGTCCTAAAATTTTATGACACAGAAGACTTTACATCAGCTTCTCTCATAAGGACCTGTAAAACATTGCCAACCTATCATCAAAGTCTTATCAGGCATGAAAATAACTTAGCTTCTGATAGTCCCGAACTTGCAACTTTAGTAGACAGAAGAGTATTCTTGTGTTTTAGGGTTTTTTCTTCTTCTAATTTTAAAGCATCATCTAAGGATATCCCTATAATTGCCTGTATAGGAAAAGGTGTCTTCTATCAGAAAGTGCTGAATAAGTACTCTAGTTGCTATACATGCAAAGATGGTAACAATTCATGTGCTTTTCTACTTATTAAACTTCAACCAGCACAGAATCAACTAGTCATCTTGTTAAAATACAGATTAAGTTCAACCCACTTGGAACACAGCCTGAGAGTCTGTCTTCCTATCAAGTTTGTTGCTTATGCTACTGGTGCACTGAAAACACTTTAAGTAGCAAAGCACAAACCCCACAAAGTCACTTCAGGAAGGTACTTCAAAATGCCTAATGAACAAAAACAGCAAAGAGCCACTTCTCAAAAGTGGAATACGAACAGTGGGAAAGCTTTACTCAACAAATGCTTGTTAAACTAATACAAGAAGCAAACAAAGCCCCAGGTTATTAATCATGTGAGCGGAACTATTAACATTCTTTAAAACTCAAAATCAGACCTTGGAATTTTTTTAAACACAGAAGTGTGGCAATGCCACATTTCCCATGAAGACATGACACTTGCCCAGATCCAGCATTCTGGATATCTTCTTTCATAAAAATCTTTTACCATTAGGACACAATGATTAAGACATATAAAGAATTACAGAATAATGGGGCTCAAAGGTTAAGAGCACTCTGCTCTTCCAGAGATCTTGAGTTCAATTCCCAGCAACCACATGGTGGCTCACAACCATCTATGAGATTTGGTGCCCTCTTCTGGTGATGGGAGATGTCATTCTGTAAATACGTTTCTCATACTGGTTAATGAATAAAGCACTGTTGGCCAATAGGAAAGCAAGATAGGTGGGACTAGGAGACAGGGAGGAGTCTAGGAAGTAGTAAGGAGGAGTGAGCATAGAGAGACTGGAAGGACCAGACGCTGGCCCCATTCCCCGGTAAGATTAAACCACATGGGAATACTTAAGTTAACAGAAATGGGTTAATACTTAAGACAGAGCTAGCCAATAAGAAACTAGTACCTGGCCATCAGCATTTATATCTAATACAGTGTCTTTGTGTGTTATTTGGGGCTGGCATGGCAGCGGGACAAGACCAGCAGCGGACAAAAAAACCTACTCCTTACATTCTGGCATGCAGGAATACACAGAGGCAGAATGTTGTATACATAATAAATAAATCGTTAAAAAAAATAAAGAATTACAGAATAACAAGAATCAATATACTTTGCCACAAAATTGGACATATATATTTTTTTTTTAAAAAAGAGAGAGAGTGGGATGTGGTAGCACACATCTTTAAGCCCAGCACTCATGAGACAAAGGCAGACCAGACAGAGTTTGAGGCCCACCTGACCTACAGAATGAGTTCTAGGAAAGACAGGGCTATACAGAGAACAGACAAACAAAAAACAAATAAGTAAACAAAAAACTGGTTTTTGGCTTTTTGAGACAAAGTCTCAAATAGCCCAGGCTAACCTCAAACTGTGTATATAGCCAAGGTTAACCTTGAACTCCTGATCCTCCTGCCTCTATCTCCTGTGCACTGGGACTAACAATGCATGCCACCAATTCAGCTCAATAAATAATTATTTTTCAGTAGCTCAAATTTGTCCTGGCAAATCAGTGATGCTCACTATCAAGTTCTTCAAATTACAGATG